ATTTGCGCGACTTTGCAAGACCGGAGCCATTGAGGATATGGATCGATGCGATATGTATCGATCAGAATAAACTCGAGGAACGAGCAGGACAGGTCGCCATGATGCGGACTATCTATCACAACGCTTCCTGTGTGCGGATCTGGATCAATGAACCGTCTTTCGACGACCAGAATGCGGCCGTAGCAGCTCTGAATGCATTTAAAATCAACCCGCAGGCGGTGAATCGTGGTCTGGGCGATGATGCCCTTTTTTGGGCCTCGCTCGTCTCAATGCTTCAGAATAGCTACTGGAATCGTGTATGGATGTAAGTGTGTGCATGATTGCATGTAAGAGCGAATATCAGCTGATGTCGTCATCTCTATATTCGCAGACAACAAGAGGTCCTTAACGCACGAAAATTAATGCTACACTGCATGAATGCTGCTTTTGACGGTATGGCTGTTACAAGCTTTCAGCAAGCCATAGGCGACGTGTTCGCTCGGTTTGACACTCATTACAGCTCTTGGGACGATAAGAGTTTGCATGATTTGAAAGGAACTATATGCAGTCCGATCAGTAGGGAGATGTTCGCCGTCCACGGCGATCGAAGAGAAAGACGGTCACTTTTTGTTCTCCTTTCCAGGAGTGCTCGTATGGAAGTATCCAGAGGTCAAGATCGCCTGTACGCCCTTATGCACTTAGCTAAAGACTACAAAGAAGGGCGGATTACAGTCGACTACAATAAGACGGCAGAACAGGTAATGGCAGATGCAGCCGCATATCATATTAGCCAGCACCAGAGCCTCAATTTCTTGATTGTAAGCTATCGAGATGATGAGACTTCCAACCCAACGTGGATCCCAGAGATGTGGATGGGAAATCACCCTGCTGGACGTACAATCATTCGACAGAAAACTGATGTGTTGATGCACACTAAATGTTCTTTGAACTCTGTCGATATGAGGAGTATGAGACTACGCATCCGAGGTGTGAAAGTGTATTGGGTGCGCCAATGCCTCGTTCCCAATGCAAGAAAGACGGTGGCTGACTTCTGGAGATCCCAAATCGGTGAGTACATACAGCCATATCTAGGAGACACCAGCATAGGCCTACCCCTTGACTTCTTTCGTGCCATTCGTGGCGGAATGAAAGATCAAACTCACGAGCACCAGTCTATACAGACTGGATTGTCGCATCTATGGAAAATTGGAAATGCTCCAGAACACGCGAGTCGGGACCTGGGCTATGGGGGATCGAAAGTCCTGGATCTACTAGACCCCCTCAAGAACGATAACCAGCCCGCTTGGTCCGCGCTCCGAGATGTCTTAAAGTGTCTGCATAGCAGACTTTGCATCAAAACGAACACAAAACATCTCGGTCTGATACCGCGATGCAATGTAAGAAAAGAAGATGAGATTTGGCTGGTACTTGGATGCATCCTGCCCGTTGTTGTTCGGTCTCAGCCCAACGGAAGATATCAGCACATCTGCACGGCATGGATACCTGCTCTCCAGCAACACGAAGACATCGCACAGTTCGTAAGCGAAATCCAGCCCGGTGACAAAGTCGGCGAATGGACGGTTGAGGATATCGAATTGGAATGATAACAACGCGCCCCACGATGACGCAAGAGTACGATTCGCTACGAACCCAGTTGCGATCATATTCCGGTCGCACTATATACAGCGAACTTAACAACGTTCTTCCGCCGAGGTTGAACCCATACCCCAAGTCTCCGCCCTAACATCTCTCTGATCATCTACGCCGGAGGCCCAACAGGCGTAGGCATAGGCATAGGCGCTACAAACAATCAGCAACAGAACCAACACTCTCCAAGAACACAATCTACTCACAAAAGCCCGGCACACTCCTCGTAGGCCTCGGCATTGGTCCTCTACTAGGCCGACCAGGGAACCCTCCAGTCGGCATGGGAGGAACACCACCTGGGAAGCTGGGGAAGCCACCAGTTGGGAAGGGAGGCGCACCGCCTGAGAAGCTAGGGAAGCCAGGGAAGCCACCGGTTGGGAAGGGAGGAGCGCCAGTAGGGAATGCGGGGAAACCTCCTGGAGGTGTTGGCATGGGACCGGTGGGGCGGGGACCAGTGGGGAAGGGCGGGATGCCGACGGGCATTGAGGGAGTGGCTTGGCGTTCGACGATGGGGGCGGCGAGGGCGCTGGGGGGTGTTAGTTGGGGTGTTGAGGAAGTGGCTTGGTAAGGGAGATGTACCCAGCGGCCATGAGGAGGACGGTGGTGAACTTCATAGTGTGCGGATGTATAGTTCAGTGAGTGAGTAAAGTGGAAGCTGTTCGTTGATGTCGATTTAAACTTCTGACACGAGGTTCTCTTATACTCCTGCTCACCCCCAGTCTGCACATCTTCCAGAGCATACGCGTACCTGGCTACCATGCGTCAGCGTAGATTACTTTCCTTCCCTGTTCCTCCGCTCTCAAGCCCACGTTGATGAACCCTAATATCCCGTATAACGACGCAGCAACGCCATATTTGCCTGGCTACCAAAGCCCAGAGTTCGGAGAATTCTTTCACTCGCGGAGGTTTGGGGCCGATCGAGTATGTTGAGAGGATATGACGTTGCGTACACGTTGTGCAGAGAGCGTCGCGCCAGGGTGTTTATGGAGAGTAGCACAGTGGCCAATTTATCGGTTGCTTGTGGCCGGGTCCGTTGTCTAATTAAGCTTTGGATTCAGGGTAGGGACGGGTTGTACAACCGCTGTGAGGGTATGTTTTGAAACAGCTCATCTATACGATCCAATGGTAGTGGTGATCTTGAGCGTGTGGCCTGAGGCCTCTGATGTCGCGTTGGATCGGACTTGCAAGAGACCTGCAGGTAGAGCTGTATGAAAGCAATGGTGCTCAATTGCCGATAGATACTGCATGCAACCAGACGGGGATGAAATCGAGATTGTTTGCTTTGGGTACTAAGATCGAGGACGCGTCTCTCTTAGATAGAGGCGGCCAGGCTGTTTAGCCGATCTCGGGACGATTCTTTGACTTTTGAATGGCAAGCAGTATAAAGTCGTTCTTCTGACGCTTAAATGATGGCGTACAGTGCGGCTCGGGTCTCCGCCACGACGGTCAGTCGTGAGCTCATGCAGAACTTAGCAGGAGCAGTTTGTGTGGGTCTCCAGAGGATATCGGCAAGTCGGCGTATTCAGAGACACCTGGTATGTCAATTGACGACAACGTCATTGTTTGGGCAGCAAAAGAAAATCTGGCGAGACTCGAAAAGACTAATCAAGATCGAACATGAGGTAAATTGACATGAGGGGCAGCGCTAAACTCCCCGCATTCTCGCATCTCATCGGAGTTCGACTCCGGTAGGCAGCCCCGACCATTTGTCGCAGAAAACCTGATCGGTAGATGAAAAAGAAGTATATGGATGTTTTGGATAGTAGATGAAATGCGGTCGCAATGAGCCAGTGAACCAGACAGATGCAGCCGTCAAGGTCCTACGGTGGCCAGCAATCATGGTTGGTTGGAATGGGAAAAGCCGCGAACTTTGCCGGGCCGCACCTGCATAATTCTCCTGTTGTGCCGCTAATCCTTGACAAGCAACATAGCCCTGATTGCAGATGTTTGATGCAAATGCTTCTGACAACAGTCGACGGGCGATATATGAAGAAGACGCGGCTGCTGTGGAGGGTCGCATAGGATAGAGTGTTGTGTAACGTCTCGCGACAACGGTAACAAGACTTTCGTATTGAGCGTTAGCACCAGGCTTGTGAAAAATCCATGTCATCGCACCTTTTGACCCATATGTGAAGAGTATCTCCATCAGCTCTTGATGGAGCTGTGCTGAATTAAAATGATTACTGTTCAACTCATGCAACCGTTCTTCCGAACTGTGTGTACGCCGCTCAGTCGTCGTCTTCGATGACTAGTCCAATCTCTTCCGCATTCTTGACCTCTCCGCCTTCGTTGTTGCCATCTGCGTCCTCGTCGGTGCCAGTCTTTGGCACATTCGCATTCGGCGCCAATTTCTTCTTCGTCTTGCCGTCCTCTGCAACTGGTGTCCCATCCCTCTCGCTGCCTGCTCCGCCCTTTCCACCCTTCTTGGCTTTCTCTTTCCGCTGTCGCGCCTTCTCCCTCTTCAGTCGATTCTTCTCCGTCTTCTCATTGTCTTTCTTTTCCAGCTCCCCTTTTCGCTTGGCGAACTCCTTTTCGTCTTCCTCCTTCTTCACCTCCTCGTCCATCATCCTCAGCCTCTCGTACTCGCGCCTCCGACTGGCCTTGTAGACGTGAAACTCGCCACTTCCCGCGCCTGCACTGGAACCTTGTACATTGGCGACGATTTCTGGGGGTAGAGAGGATTTGGCTAGTGCACTGGAGCCTGGGATGTAGATATCGCGATCAGGTTTTGCGAAGAGAGCCTCGACTTCTGAGGCTTGCGCTGAGCGGGGAGTAAGCGCGCGCTTCTTCGTTGGGCGCTGCGAGCGCGGGTCGGCGGAGGTTGGTATTGATTCGGGGATGGGTTCAGACATTGTGGTGAGTCCACAGAGGTAGATGCGGAGCGCTGGCCAGTAGATAAGCTGGCAGGGGGGCTATAATTTGTTTATGACGTCGTATGTGGTTGCCCGGAGTGATGCGACTCCAAAAACATAACGTGGGCAGTAGCAGCGTGTACGTGTGCTGTCGCGCAATGCAGAAAAAGTGGTGAAGATGGCGGCCAAGAAACAGTCGCGAGGGATGACGCGCTAGCATTTGCGGCGAACACCTCGGGGGCGCTACGGGCGGCCGAACGAGCCACTCGCGCCAGCGAAGTCGCCGCTATCGTTGGGCTTGCAGCTGCACATGAAACGCCCTTGATCGCACTTTCCCTGCGCAGCTGTACATATTCCCTTCCTGCCTCGAAGACACCTTGCTGTACAGCTTAATATCAACTACACGTACATCATCTTCCAAAACCCACACCATACACACATCCCACTCTCTTCACCATGGGGAAACCCCGCGTAGGTCCACTTTATTAATACCACCAAGGCCAATGGCTCACTCCCTCGCAGATGATCATATTGATCCGCCATGCCCAGTCAGAGGGAAACAAGAATCGCGACATCCACCAGTTCATTCCCGACCATAGAGTGAAACTAACCCAGCATGGCTGGACTCAGGTGCGCCGCCAGTCCCATCCGACTTGAGATGAGACATGACTAACTCATATGATTGTAGGCAGAAGAGGCAGGACGACAGCTACGGTCTCTGCTCAAGCCAGACGATACCCTCCAGTTCTTCACTTCCCCCTACCGTCGCACGCGCGAGACGACCGAAGGCATACTCCGTACCCTGACCTCCGACGACCCAACACCATCGCCCTTTCCCCGCAACAAGATAACCGTCTTCGAAGAGCCCCGGATACGCGAGCAGGACTTTGGCAACTTCCAGCCATGTTCAGCGGAGATGGAGCGCATGTGGCAGGAGAGGGCCGACTATGGGCACTTCTTCTACCGTATACCTGATGGTGAGAGTGCGGCTGACGCGTACGATCGAGTCAGTGGCTTCAATGAGAGCTTGTGGAGATCGTTCCAGGACGACAACTTTCCCAGTGTTTGCGTCTTGGTCACACACGGGCTGATGTCGCGTGTCTTCCTTATGAAATGGTGAGGCGCACAACAATTGGGTCAATAGTCCAGAACTAACATACTCCAGGTACCACTGGTCGGTCGAGTACTTCGAAGATCTCCGTAACGTCAACCACTGCGAATTCATAATTATGAAGCGAAGCGAGAACAACGGCCGCTATATCCTCCAAAACGAGTTACGAACATGGTCGGAACTCAAGCGCCGTGCTGCGAAGGAGAAGGAAGAGACAAAAAGCGCCACCTCATCGACGCCGAGCAGGGCCACACCTTTGACTGGCCTGGGCCAAGGAGGCATCACCGCGTCCCCCACCATACCCACGCGCCGATGGGGAGGATGCGTCAACGGATGTGACCATGACAAGATCAACTACCCCCGTCGACCGATGCGCAAGAACACTATGGAGTACATGGGACAATCGCAACAGCTGCCCCCGCCAGCAGTCTCACACATGGAGCCTGTAGAAAGCGAGCAGGAGGACCACCCAGTTGCAGCGCAGCAGACCGAGCACGCTTCCATTATCAACGAGCCCTCGCCGGCGAAGTTATCGCGGAAGCAGAGTACTAAGGGTGCCACTATGCCGGAAATGCCTCCAACGCCAGCATCTCCAAACGATGCGTCCAACGACGCTACAAGCAGTGACGAAGGGGAAGCAACATCGTCCATGTCACGCTCAGGCAGCCATGCGCAGCCGAGAACTGCAGCTGTCCTCCGCCATCTACAACCTCACAAGACACCAGGCGAGGGCTTCTCTGATGACTCCGACTACTTCCCGGGCATGCAACAAATACAACACCGCAAGTTCCTCCGAGCAAGCTCTACGCAGCGCAGACAATCCAAAGAACGCAAACTACAGCGCAAACAGACAGAGCAGAGTTGGAAAGAAGAATCTGGCATGGGTAACGGCGTCAGGACTGATAGACTGGGCGACGGCGATGCCACCAGCGATGACGCCGCGTTTGCGAAGGAGAAGGAAGGAGAACCAATCCTCACGGAAGCGTTGAAAGGCAACATGATTGTCGAGAACAGTGAGGAGGATAGGGAAGCCGGGGAGGAAGAGAAGAAGATTGGCGAGACAGAGATTGACAAGATGCAAGACGCCGAGAGAAAGGGCTTTGGTGAGGTATATTGAGTATCTTGAACGAATGATACGTCGAGGACGATCTGGACGACGATACGGCTGTATTAACGCAGATACTAAACGTCTCAAACGACTTACGGTACAAGATCAAATCGAGCCGGTCTCATAGATCTTTCACATTAATCGAATGTCTACGGTTTGGTTGGGTCGCTTTCGTTGATTCTGGTACGCTTTACTTGGTTCCATCCCAACCATGAGTGCAATACTATGTGCTAGAGGCCCCAATGCTGCTGCCGTGGAGATATTCTGAATCACCTTAGCTTTCACATCAATCTCTCACTCGCGCAAACGCAAACGCACTTTCCTCACTTGTTGTGGACCCACTTTCCGCGTCAGGTGGTTCGCCAAGACCACTCTTGCTATTCTCACTCACTTCGGTTCTCTGATCTCTTCGGTCTACTTCGCAGTCACTTCGAGGAGCCCATTGCCTTGGGAATTACTACACGACAAGCCACTTATACCATGCAAAAAACCGAGAGTGATTCTGGCGCAGCTGTTGCGCCCACGCCCGCATCGCCTTGTCAAGGTCGAGCTATCGGCTTTCTGGACTTATCTGGGGGTGAGTTGAGAATTCGGAACCAGATTTCACAGTTGCTAATCAGATCTAAAGAGCTCCGGAACTACATATACGAGTATGCAGCTGAGCAGAGCATCTTGGTGAAGCTCTCGCACGACCCTGGCCTTACTAAGAACAACATCGACTATATCACTCAAGATCGTACTCTCCTAGGTCTCACACGAACCTGTAAACAGATCCGCGATGAATTCTTGCCTATCTACCTCACAACGACCACTATCGCAATTCCATATTACCAGGTCGATCAGTACATCTCCACGTTTGTCGACCCACAACATGGCACCTACGACGATGCGGTCGGTAGTATTATCTTGCTGAGGCCGAGGATTTTAGCAACACGTCTTTCCGTCAACATACTTCCATTGGTCAAAATCATCGCTCGGGCGCCACGCTTGATTGTACGCTTTCTCAACGAGGACACCAATGACTTTCGCCAGAACAGCTTGTTCAATTCGCTGCTCAACACCCATCGCAACCCCCGCTGGAATGTCTACGCAAAAAACTGCATTTCTCAGATCACCATTAGCAGTTGTCCGAATGAAGGTCTGAAGACCACAATCGTGGTCAAGAAAGAGTGGGCGGAAAGCTGGATGGGTTTCAACTTCTATGAAAAGACTAAGCATCTCATCGCAGCAATGGCATGGAGTAAACGTGTTGGTCTCAACAGGAATAGTGGCAAGTACAGTTCGCTCCTCTATCACTTTGGCGATATAATTCCGGAAGATTCTGCGACGTCAGCGGAGCTCGACAGTGAATGAGGGCATTCGTATGTATTTACATCCAAGGGGGTGACAGATCTGTATAAGACCAAGATCTGCTTCCACGGGAACAGGCCCTTTCATCGAGAGTTTCGTGTAGCTTTCCAATGCTGAAAGGTGAAATGGACGGCACGCGCAGGCCTTGTGTTTAGTGTAACTAAAGTAGGTGTAGTGAAAGCAATGTTCACTACCACTATATCGACTAATGCATGTGGAGAGCTATTCAATTATCGCTAACCTTCAGCTCAACTCGGATGTCTTGTTAATTACAAACCACCCTGAAAACTTCTACCCACCGAGGCAAGCAAACTGCTTACCATATAACATGTCTCAGCCACAAAAGTCCGCTACTGTCGCTTCAATTCAGGAGCTCAACGCAGCTCTCCAAAATCTCACTGTAGAAAGCCCCAGGCTTGGGTTTCTATCCCTATCCGGTGGTAAGTACACACTAACCGTCATCATCAAGTGCATCACTAAGAAGCATAGAACTTCGGAACAAAATATATTCATACCTCGCCAATAAACGTAGAAACCACGACGCTCCCGTCAACTCAGAGACCACATCATTCTCCTCGACCGCGAACTACCTGCACACGCCCGCACACCAGATCGTGCTGTATTACGAGAACAAAGACGACATTCTATACGAACCCCCAGAATGGAACACCATAAAACGCTACGATATGGGCATCACACAGACCTGCCATCAAATACGAGAAGAATACGAAGCCACTTATCGCCAAAACCACTCAATGTCCATCTCGCTCGACGCCCTTGTAACCAGCACCGCCTTCCTTGATCCCGACCAGCCTCCCATACTTCCTTTAGGCAGCGTACGCATCACGGTCCGAGAGTCCTCGTGGTCAACACCCAACATCGACATTCTCCCTTTTCTGAAGGCATATAAGAACTTCCCGTCCTTGAAGCTGCACTTCGACCTCCCCGAACACGCGCGGACTGCTTTTGGCGATGTGTTCAGCGTGAGGGAGAACAATAAGTGGTGGGTAGGTGTTGAGGAGCATGTCGCGTTTATACATGTGTGGCCTGAGGTATACGGCGAGAGAGCTAAAGTTGGGATTACGGTTACCAAGGAGTTTGAGATGAAGCGGAGGAGGGGAAGGATGGGAGTTCAGAAAGGTGTATTGCTGGCTGCGTGGCTGCGTGAGATGGGGTTGGAGGCTTTGAGTAGGTGGCCAGGACTCAGGATATATGTAGTTTGATCTCCTGCTTCATCAAGATGGATATGCACCCTTCAGGCGATTGATGTGTCCAGGAGAGGCTACATGAGTGGCTGCAGACGGTCGAACTGGGGGGTCTAGTAGGATGGCATGGATCGAGGGTTTACTTGGCGAAGCCGTGGTTGGAGGAGTAGTTTGAAGAGTAAAAATGAGGAGGATCTTGAGCTGCGCGTTCGACGACTGGCTTGCAGACCGACCACGCAATCAATCGGAGCAGATGAACACTTCGGCGCAGCGCTGCGGTGTGTCGGTGTCCGTTGAGTACTTGGCATTTTTGCTCATCTTCGAGAAGCATTGTATCGCTCCCATTGCAGGCATTCTGGTCGGCGAGGTAGCTGCGGCATGCAGATCTGACACGGAGAATAATCTGAGATAAGCGGGCCGCGTATGCAAGAAATATGCAGCAATGTGAAGCTGTTCAACAAATGTATACAATCGTTCGTAAGAAGAAGTGACAAAAAATCGAAGTCAGTCGCCGCCGTGATGGAACATCGATGAAGTTCGCGCCAGTAGCCGCCACCCGGCACTCGCATCCGTCCGTCGCACGGAGTCCTTCTAGAAACCATCTAGACACCCACACACCAGCTTGACCTAGCGGGCCACGTTAGTAATTCATTCCATCATGAAGGAACGCCGTGGTAATTCCGACGGTGCGAGGTTTCGGTCGCCGACTACCCTCCAAGACCCCGAGCACGATGACACTCGCACTTGCTACCCTCAGCGCAGAAATCATACGATATCCCACATCGTGAAACGCCTCGTCGACTCTACATCATCATGTTCGCGGGTACGCAAGCCTCGCCATGCAGTCGCGCAAGCCATGAACCGGGTAAAGTTCCCATGTGCTATCCCTGGGGCGCATTCTCGTCGCCGACGACCCACGCGCCTACCACGCGCGAGCCACGCTTAGTACCCACGCTAGCCAGGGGCGCCACCAGTCCGCCTCCACGATATATCCATCGTCGGGATGATTGCATTCTCGGCTAAGTCCACGTTTGCAGCGTGAGGTCGGCGACTAGGGAAAATGTCCACACGGCGATTGGCACATGGGCCCGTTAGCGAGGGAAGATCTGGTCTAGTGACCTAGTCCTTCATAATGAGGTGGTGGTCTACAAACGGCTTGTTTGTCCTTCGCTGGCAGGGGTATTCTTTGATTTTGCTACTTTCGTTCTGCTGATGCATCTTACGGGACGAGTCCTTGGTTAGAGTGGGATTCTTTAAGGGACGGGACCCGACGAACCAAGAATACCGGTATCAAGAGGATGTTTACACCCGTCGAGACTTCCATCGGCGCCTTTCTGCTACATCAAGCGACTAGCAACCTCCTCTATCAGAATGGCGATATCCTGGGACTCAGCGGCTATCTGCGTCGACTCTTCTCTGCGCCTACGAAGGAACTGCTCGCTTTCTTCACGGGCATGGCTGCCAGCTATGTTCCGTTGAAGGCATTAGCACCGCAGTTGATCACGGAGTATCCTGCTGTACAGACCAGTCCACAGAGTGCTCTGTTTACGCTAGCGATTGGTGCTCTGATAGGATGGGGAACAAAGGTAAGAGACCTTTGGTACTAGACTCTCTCACCACTAACGCGAACTGCCAGATGTCGAATGGGTGTACATCCGGACACATGCTGTGTGGACTCCCCAGACTGAGTGGACGCTCAGCAATCGCAGTTGCTACCTTCTTTCCCGCGGCGATCATAACTCATCACCTCGTCAATCCGAGCCTATCGAGTCCGATGTGCCCCGGCAGTGCACCATGCTACACGCCTGTGTATCCATCAACCGAGACAACCGCATCTCTTTTCGTACTCGCCATATTCAGCATCTTCGCCGCGCGAACCATACCCAAACTCGTAGCCCAGGTCACGGTTGCACCATCAGCCAAGGACGCCAAACACCAGCCTGCGGATACACATACTGCTGCACGCCTTACGACGCAGTCCTTCTCCGGTCTTCTTTTCGCCCTCGGTCTTCACATTTCGCAGATGTCGCACCCCGAAAAGGTAGCCGCTTTCTTCTCTTTCCCGAACTTGCAACATTGGGACCCGTCACTCGCTCTGGTCATACTCTTCGGCGTCCTACCCAACTTGATCGAGAACCAGATGAAAGGCTTCACCAGCCCGCCATCATTCGCCGACAAGTTCTCGCTACCTACGAAGACCTTGCAAGATGTGGATAGAAGATTTGTCGTCGGGGCTGCAGCTTTTGGTGTTGGCTGGGGCTTGACGGGAATTTGTCCTGGTCCGGCGGTGCTTCGAGCTTTCTTCCAGCCGGTTTGGGGAGCGTTGTGGGTTGGTGGCTTCTGGTTGGGAGGTAAACTGAACATTTGATCTGGTTCCAAGCTTGTTCTTTGCTTCGAATGGGGGGCTCTTTGCGTTACACGATACCCTATTCATTCCTGCGCATCATTTGCCATGAGGGCTGGAAAATGACTTTGGAAGATGTTAATAGTCAGATATGGAACGTCAGTCTAATGAACGATAAAACGAGATATGTCAGAGGTTTCGCGTTTCGGTTGGGATAAGTCTTTGTATATGTCGCTTTTGTTCCTTGAATTGCGAAGGGGTGATTGAAAGCCCTTCTCGCCGCCCCAGAGGAAGGTAGGTGCGTGTGTATGTGGATCTGTATGACGAACTGCTCAGTCGGCGAAAGAGGAAAGAACAACCCGCGAACCGAGATCACTGGGAGACGTTGCACGACAAGGGCCCACTTCCCAGTGTTGCAAGCTCTGGGAGATGCCCGGATCTCTGTCGCCTTCTTTCATTTCACTCCATGCGCAGTGAAGGTGAAGGCGGGAGCTTCGCACAAAAAAAGCTCAATCCCGCTTGCGTAGTACGCCTCTGTTTCCAGCACCACCCGGGTGTTTCTCTCTCTTACCTTACACTCATCGGCAACAAACTTGAAAAGTATGCGGATCCGCCAGTTCGTCAGGCTTGCTGGCTTGTTCGCTGCCGTTGCAGGCGAGATCTGTCAAGAGTAGGCATTTCCCAAGTAACCCGCTTTCCGTCTCGGCGGGTTTGATAGTCCTTGTACCAGCGTCTTGCTTGATCAAAAGTCTTGCAGCTGACTTTAACATCTAGCTGCTCGAACGATGTTCGTCTATCCACTAATGTCACGATCCTCGAGGCGCTATATAAGAATGTCGCGGCCGCTGGCCCTCCTCCACCTCCGCCCTCTCGGCCACCTCCGGGCCTTCCGCAGCGCCCTCCGCCGCCACAAATCGAACTTGCGACTGATGAGGTCTGGGATAGGTGCAGGAGAAAGGGATGCACGCTCTCGTGGGCGATGAGCCACGACGACAGCGAAGTCGGACCCCAGTACAACCCAGGACGTACCACGGCAGCATCACCGTACCAGAATCGTAATCAACTCGGAAGATGGTACTGGCAAAATTTTGAATTTGATCCGAGCGACGATGCGGATACTTTTTTCAACTTCTATTTGACATGGGGTATCGGTGAAGCACTCGCAAGTCTCGGACTTAACCCCAACGCAGACAGATTCGAAGGTGGCGAGAACCACGTCGTCTCCTATCAGCACAACTTGCCTGGATTCGATGAGGATATCGATGAGCAAGTGTATTATGTTGACGGCAAGCAGTACCGGGCCACAGGTGCTGATTTTACCTTCTCACTCAACATCAACGAAGGCGTCATCATAGCAATGAGCCGTACAAGCCCCAAGGAAATAGGCAAGGGAAAGGACCCACCAATTACCGGTGACGGGCTGCCACGCCTTAATCAGTTCTCAGACGTGGCGTGGCTGGAGTGGCAACATTTGATGAACCAGAACAATGGCGATGTCAGAAATATGCGTTACTTCGTGTCTGTGTTGGTTGTCAACCGAGAGACTCAGGCAGTGGTGGCGAGAGCATTGCGCACTCGAGGTAAAAATCTAGACGATTTTCCAGGGCAGACGTTCGAACGGGGGACAGACGAAATGAACGCAATCATGGGTAAGTTTTGCGCGTTTCAGTAGTGATGCAGGAGGCTCTTCGATTTACCAACAGCTAGGAAGCGTTGACTAACATGTACCCAGGCACGCCGAACATGCAAGGCTTCGCATATATGCTGGTTCAGCACAAAGCGCAGCTGGGCAACATGTACATCAAGAAGATCCAAGTCTTCAAGTGCGTGACGATGCGCGAGCCTCCTTGTATCATCGCGCATGTATCCAAGCCAGACGTCTGGGTTGACCCCGGGGGCGGCGAAGTCGTCAGACGCGACGGAGGCCATAACGTAGCGCGTATGCACAGGATCTTCGCGAAGCTTTGAAGTGTCGGTATTTACGTGGCGTTGTAGTAGAGGATATAGGGCAGCTAGGGCTATGGGTAGCAGTAATGTACGACAGTCATCGCTGTGGTTGGGAATTCGATACTGATTGGCTGGTAATGTGTGTAGCTTTCTTGGTCATGAGCATGCATTCTCGCATCAATGGCCGGGAGCGGGTGGGAGTGGAAGTGGAAGCGCTGTGGACCCTGAGTGAAATGCAGCCCTACCAAAAAAGTCTTGAGCCCCGCCACATGATTCCACCCGACCCCGCGACGCGCTCAACCACGACATCGACGCGCAAAATGGAAGACGACAGAGCTGCCACCAACTTGGGGCCCGGTGCCGAGCAGGGCATGCCAGAAGAGGCTGTGCCCGTGCAGAAACAACCGAAGCGGCGTTTTGTGGGCAGGAAGACGGCAGAAAAGGCGGGCGAGCAGCAAGCGGATCCCAATGCCAACATTGAGGATTCCAGCGCGATACAAGGTGTGAGGAGCCCATACCCAGAAGCTTATGAATACCTCTAGCTAACAGTCATCCAAGTTGCCCAGCCTCGACGTACTGCTCGTGTCTTGAACGCCATCCCCGACGACATCCTCCACGACCAGGAGATCAACGACGCGATCGCCCTCCTGCCTCCAAACTACAGCTTCGAGATCCACAAATGTATACATCGCATACGGACATCCGGCGCCAAGTCGATAGCCCTGCAGTTCCCCGAGGGCCTGCTGCTGTTCGCGACGACTATATCCGATATCCTGACGCGATTCTGTCCCGGTACTTCGACGCTGATAATGGGTGATGTCACATACGGCGCCTGCTGCATAGACGATTACACTGCAAGAGCGTTGGGATGCGATCTGCTCATACACTACGCGCACAGCTGTCTGATACCGGTAGCTGTAACGAAGATCGCAACACTGTACATCTTCGTCTCCATCAGTATCGATACCCAACATCTGATCAACACCATCACCGAGAATTTCCCCGTGGGAAAGACCATCGCGTTAGTTGGCACCATTCAGTTCAACGCTACAATACATGGCATCGTGCCGATACTACGGAAGGAGGGATACAACCCGTTTGTGCCACAGATCGCGCCTCTATCCAAGGGCGAGATCCTAGGTTGCACGTCACCGTCGATGGCCATCAAGCCGGGCCAACTCAATGCGCGAGGCAAAGAGGAGGAAGTACCGGACATGATACTATATCTTGGCGACGGACGCTTCCACCTCGAGAGTGCTATGATCGCCAATCCACACATACCCGCATACCGCTACGACCCATACTCGCGGAGGCTGACACACGAAACCTATGAACACGATTCACTATATGATCTACGCCGCACTGCCATTCTCACAGCTCGGAAAGCTCGTACATGGGGCGTTATCCTCGGTTCGCTAGGACGACAAGGAAACCCACATACACTGACGCTCATCGAAAACGAGCTGGCACGCCAAGGCATCAAATGCGTAAATCTGCTCATGTCCGAGATCTTCCCTGGTAAACTGGCAATGATGTCCGATGTAGAGGCTTGGGTACAGATTGCGTGTCCTAGATTGAGCATTGACTGGGGCTACGCGTTTCCCAGGCCGTTGCTAAGTCCTTATGAGGCGCTTGTCACGCTTGGAGTAAGAGACGCACCATGGTTGGAGGAAGACGACACAGTGAGGAGAGTCGAGGCCAAGGACAGAAAGAACCTCTATCCTATGGACTTTTACGCAAAAGAGGGCTTGGGACGGACTACGGTAGATCATGTGAAAGCTGCGGAAGTAGCAGTTGGGGCATGAGGAACTACAAAGCGTGCATTGGTTTGGCGTCTTTCTCTGCTAGTTTAAACTGAATGTGCATTGTTGCGTGGCGCGGGTCAAGACTTCAACTCTTCCACGTCTCTACGTCTCGGATGAGTAGTTGGGATGAGCTATGGTTGCCTGCCGCTTGCTCTCCTCTTTCACTGCGACGGCATCAAAGGAGCATTTCCCGCTAGCAAAAACAAAAGCACGGACATTCGCGATATCACCGTTAGGCTCCCATCTTGCCCGATTACTCTCTATGACACAGTGACCGTTAACCTGGGATCTTCCACTATACTGCGACCAATTGATCCGCAACTCGCTGCTGCTTGGCCGGCGCGACCATGTCATCAGCAACATCTCCATCACCCATCTTCCAGACAGACACCATCCCGTCCAGCATGACTCTACCTCCGGTCACACCGACTCCACTGAAGCGGAAGCCATCAGCCGATCCCTCCACTCCTCCTCGGGAGTCTCTAAAGAGGCCGCGACTAGACTCACAAAGACTGTCCACCGATGAGACCCTACGCTCGACAAAGCACTACGCCGTGTACTTCCACAATCTCCTCGAAGACCCGGAGAGCGCCAATCACCAGCTCCTCAGCGCATCCACCGTCTTCGAGAGCACCCAAAAGGCCATGCGTGATCACGCTACCCAAGCAATCGAAGCAAACGTCCAATGGGGAGCAACAAGAGAGCTCAGCACCAACCGACTCTACGAGATCCTGGATAGTAAGAACCATGTCGTTCTACGCTACGAAATGGACATTGTCTTCCCGACAGGCGAAAACGTGGACGGCGTGAAGCAGTGGAGTCGCGCGAGCGAGCTGGAAGCCTTGCCAGTGCAATATGGTCTGTGTGTTGAGTATCTCAATGACAATTACGACGAGGAAGAGGGAGCAGAACGCTCCCTGGTCGTCACTTTCAGTAGTCTAGGCGAAGCCAAACACGCCATGAAGAAGTCGGCGGCGGCGTACATTGGCAGCTCCAGTGGAGTCAAAGTGTCTGAGAGGCGGATTGAGATGGTAGGGGAGGAGGGAGAAGTCCTTCGACGATACAAGATCGAAGACGGGAGGAGGGATGCACAAGGTAGGTTTATACGGGAAGAAGACTTGTATCTTGAGCTGAGCGGTGCAGATGCGACGACGGTACCTGCCGACCTTTCACCCGCGCCCGAGAGATTGGAGTCGCCTGCACCGCCGTCTCCTCAGCCGATAGTTGCTCCAGCCATTACTGCAGTCGTACGCCAAGCTATACCAGAAGTCGCATCAAACAGTCCCGCTCCCGCGACCCCCGAACCAGAAGCTACTCAAGGCACTCGCCGCCAGTCTGCTCGGATCAAAGTCGAAACTCAGGCTGCTAAGGATATGAAGGAAGAGCAAGCAAAGGTCGAAATCAAGCCCAAGCCTCAGCCTAAATCAAAGGCTCCAGCTCAACCCAAGGCCCCAGCAAAGCCCAAAACGCCAGCTAAATCCAAAGCCAAAGCCAAAACCTCAGCGCAAACTCCAGTCGACACGTCCTCTCACTGTACCTGTCGCGGCCTTGACGATGGCAGCTTGATGATCGGCTGCGACAATGACGCTTGTCCGATCGGCTGGTATCATGGACGTTGTATCGGCATCTCCAAGCCTATCCCGAAGAACCAAGAATGGTATTGTGCCATGTGCACGAAAGAGATGGAGAACAACAAGGATAAGGGTGTTGGAGCGGTTATTGTGAAGACACCTGCGAAGAAGAGAGGTAGCGGTGGTGGCGTAAAGACAAAGACAAAGACAAAGGCGAAGGCGAGGAAGAGGAAGTAGGGGTAGGTGGATTGATGTGAAGGTTGGCTAAAGGGACTGTGGAATTGTGCGCTGATTGGCATAGTCGTCCTGGGGCTTGTTAGTATGTATGATACGATAGTAATTCCAGTATGTAAATAGACGGTCTTACCGTTCACGTTCGAACTACAATGATGTTCTCCTAGTTCACCACATTCCAAGCTACGTCTCTTTCATAACTACGTTCGGTCTCTGATATTGTGCCGGTGTCTTGATAACACGATGCAACAGGAGATGCCCGAAGTACGAGCTGATAAGGAAGAAAATAATAATGCCAATGGTGGTAGTGTCCATTTCCAGTTGACGCACTGCGCAAACAGTCTGGTTAGATGAAGAAAACGGCAGATTCCCGCAAGCCGTGTCCAGGTTCAATGCCTGGAAGGTATTGGTGTCGCAAGATGCAGAGGATGCAGTAGAAAGTGAAAGAAACTGTGCTTGTGACAATGATGTGGGTGCGTATCACAAGGCGGCAGTGACGCATGCCTGTTCCTGTCAGCAAACGCCTTCCGCTTCTTAGTCACACGAAACGTGGTTTGATCAGCTTATCGCTTTGGCAAGACGGGATTTGCTGATTCATCAACGAGCACTGGAACTGTCGGCGTGTAGTTCGTATGAAGTAAAGCGCGTAATGGGTATCGTATTCGCTATGCAAGACGCCAAACAATGTCAAGTATGCAGTCAACTCTTGCCCACTACTATATCCAAAGCTCCGCTCAGTCGATCTCCGGCATGAGCTCGTCGTCATCGACGAGATCTGGGTCGACTTTGCTTCCTAGATCGGTGTCTTCCAAAAACGAACGACCACGGAGTGCTTCGGGTAGGTACTCCTGCTTCACTTTGCCGTCTAGATAGTGAGGGTTGTACTTGTATCCCTCTCCATAACCCATATCCTTCATCAACTTGGTTGGCGCGTTGCGTATGTGATGTGGTATAGGCAGTGCAGCGACTCCCGGCTCCTTCAACGCATCGTAAGCGTTGTTCATTCCCCGGTATGCGCGCGTCGATTTCGGCGAGAGGGATAGGGCGGTCACTGCGTGGGCGAGGTTGATGCGGCATTCTGGCATGCCGATCTTCTCGCAAGCAGAGTATGTGGCTGTCGCAAGGGACAGCATCGAGTTGTCTGCGAGTCCAACGTCTTCAGATGCGACAACGATAAGCCGACGGGCTATGTATCGCGGATCCTCGCCAGACTCCAGCATACGTGCTAAGTAATATAATGCCGCGTCGGGGTCGGAGCCTCGTATTGACTTGTGTAGTGCGGATATGGTATCGTAGTGTTGGTCGCCGGCGCGGTCGTATACAAGGGTTTTGGTGAGACTCTGTTGTATCTTCTCTTTGGTCATGTCAGGCTGCTTCGCAAGGCTCATGGCGAGTTCGAGAAGATTCAGGGCTGTTCTGGCGTCGCCATCAGAGAAGCGGGCGAAGTATTCCAGCATCGGCTTGTCTAGTATAGGGGTTGTGACGTTGTCTGCGGCCATGGCGCGCTCGAGTATTCGTACCAAGTGGTCTTCTTTAAGGTCGTCGAGCGTAAACGTCCGACATCTTGACAGCAAAGCTGAGATGACCTTGAAGGATGGGTTCTCGGTCGTTGCGGCTATGAGGGTTATGGTGCCTGACTCTACAGGCCCAAGGAAGGCGTCTTGTTGTGTCTTTGAGAAGCGATGTAGCTCGTCGCAGAAGACGATGGTCTTTCGACCTGTCAGCTGCAGGTCTCTAAAGGCCTCTGCGAATATCTTGCGCACTTCCTCCAACTTTGTGCTTGTGCTGTTGATCTCGACGAAGCGTGAGCCGGATGTGTTGGCGACGAGTCTGGCGATGGTGGTTTTGCCTAGAGAATGGGTTAGTCTCCATTGGAGCGCGAAGGATATAGAGAAAGCAGTACCTGTTCCAGGTCTTCCCCAGAGTACCATTGATGGCAGTCTGCCTTCATCGACCATGCCTCGGAGTACGCCGCCTGGCCCCACCAGCTCTTGACCATATACATCGTCCAATGACATGGGCCTCATGCGCTCCGCCAGTGGCATGGCATCTTCGACAGCCTTGAGCTTCCGCGCCCGTTTTGGGGCAGATGGTGATGGTTGCTCCCCATTGGCTTGTGTATCCGATGCTTCTTCGAGAGGCCGTTTGGTACCTGGCGGGGGTGTCTTTGATATCTCTATCCGTTGCGTCGCGGTCGGCGGTGCTGGCTGTGCGGGTGGTGACGAGGTTGGGTGTCCATTCTTCTGTGTCGCGCCCGGAGGTTTGCGTGCGCCCGGCGTAAAGAAGCTATACGCCTTCCCCAGACTTGGCGTGCCCTGTGGTTCTGGCTCGAGCAGAAATTCCTCGCAGCCGCTGTCGATGTGTTCGTTGATTCGGGCGTCCTTGACAGCCTTAGTGCAGATGGGGCAGTCGACCATGTCGAAGATGAGTGGCTCGGCGCACGCGACGCGAATTATTCTGGGGTAACGCGACGAGCGAGGCCGGCGCTATCTCGGACTTGTCCCCGCTTGATGACGGCAGACGACGGACTGGAGCACGCAATGCTAGACGCTGCAGTTCGTGACTCTTTTGGGTTTACTCATCTTTCAATGATATTGCCATGCGAATTATCGTGACTCCGGCCTTAAGATCAATCCGAACCTCCCCAAAGAGACAATCCGCAGCTTCAAGGTGCCCCACCAGCTGTCCCCCTCTCCGCGCCATGTCAGCGACAACACGAAGGGAAGACCCCTTCAAGCCCGCGAAGAGAGTAGCGGGCCAGAAGCAGGATGTTTGGTAGGTCAATTGATCAGAGTATGCGACAACAGCTAACAGCCCCAGGTCCATTGTCAATGAAGCCGCCGCGGCCTCCCCTGTGCAGCCCATCGTCAACATGGGCCAGGGCTTCTTTGGCTACAATCCTCCCAAGTTCGTCCTCGATGCCGCGAAGGCTGCGCTCGATCAAGTAGACTGCAACCAGTACTCGCCCACCAAAGGCCGCCCGCGGTTAAAGAAGGCCATTGCCGATGCCTACTCTCCCTTCTTCGGTCGCACGATAGATCCCGACAAGGAAGTCACAATCACCACAGGCGCAAATGAAGGCATGCTCAGCGCTTTCATGGGCTTCCTGGAGGAGGGAGACGAGGTCATTGTCTTTGAGCCTTTCTTCGACCAGTACATTAGCAACATCGAGATGCCAGGCGGGAAGGTCGTCTACGTGCCTCTTCACCCTCCCAAAGACGGTGCGACCAAGACTACTTCTGCAGCCGAATGGAGTCTGGACATGAAGGAGCTGGAGGCTGCAATTACACCCAAGACCCGCATGATCGTTATCAACTCTCCGCACAACCCAATTGGCAAGGTCTTTTCCAAGGATGAGCTGCAAGCCATTGGCGACCTCTGCGTCAAGCACAACATCATCATCCTCTCAGACGAGGTTTACGACCGTCTATACTACGTCCCTTTTACTCGCGTCGCCACTCTGTCACCAGAGATCGCCAAGCTCACATTGACAGTCGGTTCAGGAGGAAAGAACTTCTACGCCACTGGCTGGAGAGTAGGCTGGCTGATCGGACCCGAGCATCTGATCAAATACGTCAGTGCAGCGCACACAAGAATCTGCTACAGCAGTGTCTCGCCGCTTCAAGAAGCCACTGCAATTGGGTTCGAGCAAGCTGATGCCCACAACTTCTGGGATGAGTCGAAGAAAGAGATGAAGGCCAAGATCGACAAGTTCACCGCTGTCTTCAATGAGCTTGGGCTACCCTACTCGGATCCGGAAGGCGGATACTTTGTTTTGGTAAACATGTCCAAGGTCAAGTTGCCAAGTGACTATGAGTTCCCTCCTCACGTGGCAGAGAGGCCGAGGGATTTCCAGCTCAGTTGGTTCCTGATCAAGGAAGTTGGCGTAGCGGCTATCCCTCCAACTGAATTCTTCACGCCAGGAAACGCACATATCGTGGAAGACTGGCTACGGTTCGCCGTGTGCAAGAACGATGACGTACTGGAGCAGGCAATGGAGAGGCTGAGGAGTCTTAAGAAGTATATTCAGGAATGAAACCACCACATCGCATATCAGAAATGACAAAACAAGTATTTTCACATTCTCGTGATATTCCTCTCGTGATATGCCCCTCAATGCCGTTTGCAGAACCGTCTAGGTCTTTTGCTTGATCGTGTCTGTCGCCCATCAATACCACACCGCCGCACGCGCTTTTCAGTATCCGCCCCACGATTACATTGCTCAAAGTACTCCTCACAAAGGCGACTTGTGTGACGTAATTATCAGGAATTAGCTATGATACCAAAATGGCTCACGACTCACTCGCCCGTTTGCCAGTCACTCTCTGATGACTTCCCCTTCACTTCCACGAACTCACTCAATCGCTCATTCAGTCACGACCCCCACCACCACCCTACTTAGTCACTTACCTACTTCAACCACGTCGCGTCCACGCATCTCAGACAGCGCACCACTACCAACATGCACATCACAAGCCTGCTGTTCGCCCTCTGGCTACCCATCCTCGCGGTCGCTCTATCACAAAGCGGAAGCTCGGCGACAACACTCACAACGAAGCCATCGCCCATATCTCCGCGGTCTATCTCACCAGCGTTACAAAGCATCTACGATGTCCTAGACATCTTGTCGCCCGGTCAACCTCATCCTACACTTACACCACCCAAGTCCACGTCTACGTCCACGTCCACCACCGAGTCAGGTAGTACATTCATTATTACAACCACACCGGGCGTAGGAGTGGTGGTGACAGTTATTTCACTCACGACATTACGGAGTACGATGACCCCGCCGCGGTCGCTTCTTTCCACTACGACTTCATGGACAACACTAAGCCAGGTTGCGGGACGTAGGCGGCAGCAGGAGGAGACGGGCGAGGCGGCTTTTGCTCCTGTCAACACACGTCTACCCGCAGCGGAGAGGGACTCGGAGCGAGAAGGAGAGGTCGGGGGAATGCATTGAGGAGACTTCACTCTGTCCCGCGTATGTAGGGGAGGTGAATGACCAGAGGGGAACGACCTTACCGGGAAGTTGCTGGATGTCAATGGCGGGATTGGAAGATGGTTATCTAGAGACAACGGGTGTGTGCGGTGTATTCTGACGGGAGATGTAATGGAAAGGCGGACGGAACGCCCAGGGTTGCATGATAGAAAGAAACATTAATGGTCAGGGCTGCTATAGGGTGTGGTGAGATGGCACGGGTGCAACATCGTACATGGGTTCTTTCATTCGATACTCCCATTGGTCGATCGCTTATTCTTGATTGCACTTGCACTGCATCGATAGTCTCGAAGGATGTGCAGAAGATGTAGTGGTATCATGTACTCATTGATTCATTATATATCAGATCATTACTCGTCATCGTCATATACTTCTCGGTCTTGGAAGACCAGGAACTCGCCAGCATCGTCGCCTACAATCTTCTGCCACACCTCTTTGACATTATCAAGCACTGCGTCATCGAAGGCGAGGTCCATGGAGGGAGGTGGAAAGCGAATGACATGGTCGGTATCGGTCGGTAACGTCTCCGATCCGGATGACGATTGCTGCTGGTATTCGACAGACCATAATATGGTAGGAGATGGCGAGACGTCTTCCGCAGACAACAACGAGTCTACAGCTTTCTGAAGCAGAGCAAACCCATCTCGGCCGCTCACCGATGTCGAAGCATATAGTACACCTGGGGTATAGTCAGTAACATGAAGCTAGAAGACCATGCATTGACAATGTAGAGGATGTGCCGTTGTATCAGGTTGTCAGAGTTAATGTCTTCAATGGTATTCAGACAATGTAGATAAGTATTCGTAAGGTTTGTTCATCATAACAGCGTAGGGGTGAAGTAATAGAAAAAACTTACATTGACCAGAGGGGCATTCGCCAGTGTCGCTCGAATGCACAAAGACGTGAACTGGCGGAAGCTCTTCAGCTTGCGACTCCAGCGTCAAAGATCCGGGCGGGAAGACAACGACAGCAGCGGCTGGTGCTGGTGCTTCCTCGGCGATGGGAGGGAATAGATGCGACAAAGAGGATGACACAATGGTCATCGACTTGCAGTATGTATCCTCAGAAGCAGATGAGGAATTTCCTCCTACGATCCACTTCGCGGTGACAACTTCGCCATCTTTCAGGCGAAGCTTTGTACCATTCTCGGTTGTCTCCGGGGCGCTGTCAGTGGGTGGAGTTACGCCTTTTCCAAGGACATAGACACCACCACCCACAGCACAGGCTCGACACGAGACTTGGCTAATCTCTGACAGGCCACCCCACTTCGGTATGACGGCGCCAAAACCAGCACCGAATACTCCGATCGAACGTAGATGTGTCGCGATTCTTGGTAGAGCGTATTCGGTTGTCGTACGGTCTGCCCTGGTGGGCGAGAGCGTCAAAGCCATCAGAGGTCCTTGCAGACTGGCTGGAACCTTGAACTGCTCCGACAAGAAGCTCGAGAAGGGCTGCTGACGGTGCTCCTCCCAAACTTCAGTCTGTTCCTCGTACTCGCTGATGAAGCGCAAGAACTTCATCAAGGCGCGCTTGGCTTTGAAGTCGAGGTCGTGATCCTGGAAGACATCCTCGCGGCCGTTGGGCACCTTCAGTAGTCTTCCATGCGATGACGAGCTTTCGCCCGGTGCATCGGCAGAGTATACCCACCAGGTACCGACAGCAAGAAACTCGAGTTGACGGTAGACCCTCGACGAGACGAGGTAGCCAAGCAGCGAGGAGCGCGCGTAGATGACCTGGGGGCTTAGAGACAGGCTGTATGCCCTCGAGAAGGATAGCGCGGGGCCTGAACCAGTAGCCTCAGGCTTGGTGACTGCGACGTGGGAGAAGGCAGCATTCGAGGTTTCTGCGATGCATTAGCGACAGTCTACCCATTCAACGTCATCCCTACTTACCACCACTCATTCGCTGCGCCCACTCTTCAGCTTCTTGCAAGCTAAAGGCAGCCTCGGCACCGCCGTAGTAGTCATTCTCGTCGACATGGAGGATCTTCTTGTCGGAGCGCGACAAAGCTCTTCACGCGCTGCGTCAGTCAGATCGCGTCCAGCCTCGCCGACGAGCAAGATACATACAAAGCGAGAAGAGACTGCTGCAGGCCAGTGCCTACGATGAGAACATCCCACTCAGTGTTGTCGAGGGTTTCCATGTTGGAGCTGTAGGAAAAGATTGAAATGTCGGAGGAAGATGGTAGCGCCATTTTAGCGTGGGTGACTAAGCGGGGCCTGGTGACAAAATCTGTCGCTGGCTGCCGAGGAGCTTTCTTCATCATCGCGCACGCTCAGGGCATCCCGGCATTACGTATGGCCTGTCCGAAAAGCAGCCTGGTCTTCACTGATCGGGACTTGTGCGCGTGAGAAGAATATCTCGTCCGGTATCTACTGCTTTGGATTTCACCTGAATTAGCGGCTCGAATGTGGCGATACATCACCTTAAGACACGCGATAGCTCGTTTGAATGCGTATGAAATGAATGCGCTTTGGGCATTTTCCCAGTAATGGCTACGCATAAGGGGGGAAGGTCGGTCCATGCGACAATGCAATTCTTCTTAAAGAGATGGCTGGCACGATCTGATCTGATCAGCTACCCATGACATGGAGAACCTTTGCTCACGCCTGATTGCCCTCCACCAATCGTGAGATGCTCTCAACGATTCCGACTATATCTTGCGGGTCGAAGCCCAGCCCAGTCTCACACTCAATCACATTCATCTCATCCTGCTTCATCGCAGCGATGATCTCGCTGATAGAATCCTTATGACTGTCATATCGCTTATCGAAGACATCGCCTGCCCTTCCGCGACTCACAAACCTCTCTCTTGCCACTTCTCGATCAGTACACAATGCTAATACCCAAGTATTGCCATTGGGCTGCCATATATCTTTGACACTCTCCTTGAAGGTCTCCCACCGATCCACTCCCCTAGGAAAGCCATCTATCAGGATCCGTACGTTTGGCGGAACAACGCCATCAGGGAAAATCCGCTCCCGAACGTACTTGGGTGTTCTGTTGGACGGCGCCAGTGTTCCTGCTTTGACGTTCTTGGCGAGATCTCCCAGCTCCTCTACCGACAGCTTGCATTTTATGCGAGCGGGATGGCCAGTCGAGTTTGAGGAGACCAGGTTACGGAGCTCATTGCCGAGGGAGAAGTGGTCTAGGTTGAAGTGTTTGGCTAGAATGGTGCATATCGTCGACTTGCCGGCGCAGGGAGGGCCGAGGACGAAGATGAGAAGGGGCGGGGATGGTTCATGTGGTTCGGGTGCAGAGATGTGCAATATAGACTGGGGGTTGTTATCGGTGCTCATGGTTTGGGTGGTGTGTACGATATGCGCATCGACAGTTAGAGAGACGAGGTCGTTTGTGCCTCGAGAGCTGACTATATAGTCAATATACTTCACACGTTCTTTGACTTCACGAAAGTGCTGCTCGCTCGTGCTAGCCCTCGACTTACACAGCGTTTATATGTAGGAAGGTGCTGACAGTCCAGCGACGTTGTAATTGTTTAGTGTCGCATTGTCAACATGCTTTCTAGCAACAGTGCTCTCGTGTATCTAAGTGTCAGCCTCTTGCTTCACCATCGTCCTCGTGCGCCCTGATGTCTTCTTCCTTGTCCCATACTTTGTGTCCCGCGACCCACGTTTGGAGCACCTCGCCATGCTCATTCAATACCGTCAAGTCTGCTCTTCTACCCTCTTTCAGCAAACCTCTTCCACCTTCTCCGTCAACGCCCATAAAGGCAGCCACGTTTTCTGTGACCGTGCCTACAGCCTCTGCGATTCCACATCCAGACCAATCCATCAAGTTCCTCACACTCTGCTGGAGCGGTATACAACCACCGATCAACGTGTCGGTTCCAGCAATCGTCGCCCGTGTACCATTCTTCACCTGTTCAAAGGGAATTTGCGAGTGGCCAGGGTATGTTCCATCCTTGAGTGAAGCAAGTTCAATGCTGTCTGTTATCAGAATCGACCGCTTTGGGCTTGAGCGATGGAGCAAGGACACGGTGTTGGGATGCAGATGCTCTCCGTCTGCAATGATAGTGTACCACGGTGGTGCGACTTTTCCTGAATCCGGTAGCGAGACCAGACCAGCTAGTCCGGGCGCTCTCGATGCCCAAGCTGGCATGGCATTCAAGGTATGCGTCAATACACTTGCTCCAGCTTTCAGCCCCGTCAATCCTTGTTCATACGTGGCAGTAGAATGGCCCATTGCTACTTTGATGCCCTGCGACGTAAGCGATTTGATAAGTGCAGCTGAATCTTGGAGTTCTGGTGCGACGGTCACAAGCTTGACAGTAGATTGCAGATTAGTGGATCCGTACACAGTCGAAGGGGAGGTTGAGCATAGGTGAAAGAGGGAGCTGTTGTGCGCGCCCTTCTTATCTGGATGTAGATATGGCCCTTCGGTATGAGCTCCGAGCAGAGATGCTGAATAGGAAATCTGCCGTGGCTTCAGAGAGGGAAGAATCTGGAGCTGTGTCAGTAGACTGGCACAATGTATGGACTTATCCATCATTCAACTGCACGACAAAGGTGTCACAGTACGCTACATCTGTCTCACCTTTTGGAATTCATTACTCTTTATAGTTGGTAGGGTTGCCCAGAACCCCGTGACACCCTGAGTCGCGTAGTACCTCGCAATATCATCGATCTTGGTCGCATATGTCTTTTCGTCCTCATAGTGTGTGAAATGGAAGCCATTTGCCCCATTGGTGTGCAATTCCAAGAAGCCTGGAGCTATGATAGTGTCTTCCAAGTCGATGGCCTCGCCCCCAATGTAGCCTTCTCTTTTCAGGATAAGTCCGGTCTCATCTGAGATAACGAGATGGTCCTCGACAAGCTCGCCATTGAGGATGTAGCGACAATTGGTGAAGAGAGTGAACCAGCCTGACATAATGTAGACCTGGCCAATAGCGCGCTCGAAATAGGTCGCGGGTAACTTCCGTTAGCAAGGCGTGAGCAAGGAGATCATGAGTCGTTCCAAGGTGGAGGGGACGATCAGCCCCACCACGCTCTGATTGGCCAATGCAGCCACACCATGTGCATTGACGTCATTATAGGCGGATCTCGCGATCCATGAACGCGACAGCCAGGGTGATTACCAGAATTCCAGCCACAGTGGGGATTTTGACAGCTTCTTGCCGTGGCACCAGCAAAGGTTGGGTACGCGTCGTGCGCAAAAAGGTAACGCGGCTGATCCTGTTGCAGCATTGGGCGCACTTGCCCTACGTCATTGACTGCAATTGGCAGCCCCGCGCGCGGGAACTCTTTTATGGTCTTGCAGCTTGCTTGTTCCTTGCTTTCGCTTCTTAAGCGGGGAGATCTTCGCTAGGCCCAAACTCTCCCAATATATCTCCATCGGCCCATACGATCCTCGATCCTCCCGCAACAGCCGCAACTGCTGTGAGCCCTTTCGCCCCTCCACACCCTTGACTTTTGACTTGGGCGGTCACTTCGGAGGAGATATAGCACAGCATGGCGTCACAACAGCAGCAACACGCTCCGGGAGGACATTACTCGGGCCATAACCCAATCCCTACCGTCAGGCAGTTCGTCGAAAACCTGGACAAGGACAAGGCGGCTCGAGACAAGAGAATAGACGAAGCATCCAAGCAGCAGAACCAGCAACAATTGCAACCCCATAAGCAGCAGGAAAGACAAATAAAGGGTACAGAGCAGGTGGTTACTGACCCTACGACTGGTAGGGAAGTCACCATTGCCGATGTCAACGAGGATATGATGGACGAGGTCGAGAACCCGCATCTAGTCATACCAAATGCAAACCTTGATAAGCAAACAGTACGTCTTCTATGCCGGCTCTATATTCACTCGCTAATACTCTGCAGCCCATCAAGACCGATGCCTCCCAGTCGCTCGAAGACTACAAGCACAACCAGGATGTCACAGCTCCACCGGATCCAGTCGCCGAAGGCACGACGACCGACGTACCTATTCACGGCGAAAAGACGAACGTTCTCTTCCACCCGACACCCTCGGTCAGCTACGAACCCATGTTTGCCGCACTCGAAACACGGGCCAACTACCTGTGCGCAGGTATCTTGATTGGAACAGTTGTCGTAGGCAAGATGTTCGGTGGCGCACTGAAGGGTCTAATACCACTCGGCATGTGCCTGGCTTCTGGCGTATTTCTCTGGATGAAGGAAGTCGTGCGCAGCGGACGAGAGGTAGAGTGGGACAGCGAGCAAGTCCGTGGCCAGATGGTGTGTATCTGCGAAGTCCACCCACATGAGCGATAGCTAACCATCTTGTAGGCCTCTCTGAACTTGCTACCCGAGTCCGTCGAGTGGATGAACACGCTTCTCGCTATTGTGTGGGGCCTCATCAACCCCGACATGTTCTCTGGCGTTGCAGACATGCTTGAAGATGTCATGCAGGCCTCCGTACCAGGTGTCATCGAAAACGTCCGCGTGGCCGAAATCAACCAAGGAAGCAACCCGTTGCGCATCCTTAGCTTGCGAGCACTTCCGGACTCACACATGGGCGACATGAAGAGGTCCATCCACGAAGAGAACAAAAAGACGAAAGACCCACAAGAAGCAGCAGCAGACGAAGAAGGTGGAGATTACTACAATCTGGAGGTCTCTTTCGCATATCATGCGAGCCCCAGTGGAAAGCGAGTTTCGGAGAGAGCACGAAACATGCACATGCAGCTGGTATTCTACTTGGGGATTAAGGGTCTCTTCGGTGTTCCGCTGCCCATCTTCGTCGAATTGCAGGGACTTGTCGGCACAGTCCGCCTGCGTCTCAACATGACACCCGAGCCTCCTTTCCTAAAGACGTTGACCTTCACGTTGATGGGCGCACCGCAGGTCAGTGCCGGATGTACACCCATGGTGGAAAAGGGTGTAAATATCCTCAACCTTCCATTGATCAGCAACTTCGTCAACTACGCCATCAAGGCAGCAGCAAGCAGTAAGTGAGTCTCTCAAGAGGGACAAAGAAAGCATGCTAATCAGCCTAGTGTACGTTGCGCCCAAGTCTATGTCTATTGACATGCGAGCTATCCTCCAGGGCGACTCCGTTCAAAAGGACACGGAAGCCCTCGGTGTTCTCTGGATCCGTATTCACCGCGCTGTTGGCCTAAGCAAGCAAGACAAACGCGGATCGAAACATGGTGGAAGCGACCCTTACATCACTATCGCCTTCTCAAAATACGGAAAACCCATGTACTGCACTCGGGTCATTACCGATGATCTGAATCCGATCTGGGAAGAGACAGCAGCTGTTCTTGTTGGACCGGAATTGATCAAAGCCAATGAGAATCTGAGCGTAGAACTCTGGGACTCCGACCGACACACCGCCGATGACATTGTCGGAAAGGTCGAGATTTCCATGCAGAAGATGATTCAACACCCCGGCAAGATGTACCCGCAGACTTCAAAGCTGGCTGGTATGGATGCCGATAGCGAGATGCCTGGAGAACTTCACTGGGAAGTCGGCTACTTCACCAAGCCGAAGTTCAGGAAAGAGATGCGAACGGACGGCAAGAACAAGTCGCTCCCAGACGAGTTGAAGGACAAGCCTGAGTTACAAGACGAGAAGGGTGTCATCAACTCCGAAGAGGATGATGCTGTCATGCATACTCCACCGGATCCTCTGTGGCCCAGCGGTATCTGCAGTGTGGTTTGCCACCAGATTGTGAACCTAGAGCTCGAGAACGTCAAGGGTAGCGCCGACCCTAGAGGTCGCGAGTACGAGCCTGCGAAGCCTTACGGCGAAGGCAAAGAAGAGACTGGTGGCAATCTTCCGAACAGCTACTGTACGATCTTGTTCAACGACGAGCTAGTCTACCGAACTCGTTCGAAGGCTGTCTCATCTCAGCCCATCTTCAACGCAGGTACCGAACGATTCGTTCGTGACTGGCGATCGGCCATCATCACGGTAACGGTGCGCGACCAAAGGAACAGGGAGCACGACCCCATTCTGGGCGTGGTTCCACTGAAGCTATCTGACATCCTCGAAACATCATCACAGGTTACGCGATGGTATCCGCTCGACGGTGGTATCGGTTTCGGTCGCATACGCATCTCTCTGTTATTCCGCAGCATCGAAACTCGTCTACCACCGCAGATGCTTGGCTGGGACGTCGGCACCTTCGAATTCCGGTCGCAGCGCATTCTGGCTTTAGGCTACAACCATCACCCCAAGATCAAGTTGCGGACTGGAGGTAGCACCGGCAAGCTAGGCCGCAGCGCTGCCACCAAGCTCCAAGAAGGCGATGGCTATTACTGGGATTTGGAAGAAGGCAATGGGAAGAACAACGTCCGATTACCAGTTAAGCACCGCTACAGGTCACCGATCGTGTTCGAATTCCACATCAGCAATCATCGCAAGGCCGACGCTTATGCCGTGATTTGGCTCCAGCACTTCATCGACAACGAGGATGCCGACATTAACATCCCAATCTGGAAGACCGCTGCTCCTGCTCGACTAACACAGAACTACATCACCGAATCAAACTGCCACAAGGAACCTGGTCTCGATGACCTCCAAGAGGTGGGCCGCCTGCAATTCCGTGCTCGCTTCAAGGCCGGTACAGACGAGGCGCACGCTGCTTTCATCACCGACAATGACACACGCGAGACCTTCGAGACATGGGAGGCTTGTGTTACGGAGGGTGTTCGAAACCACAAGGTCGAAAAGGAGATACCAGATCGCGTGCAGGAGCTGCATGACCAGTCATTGACTACAGGACGTGACATCCTGAAGAATGCGAGTGAGGAAGAGAAGCGTCAGTGGCTCGCGAAGGATGGTCAGGACTGGTCAGGTGCTTTTGGAGACAACCCGAAAGCCTACATGAATACCAGACGCCAAAAGAGACGTGAACCTGGCGTTGAAGAGCCACTACACGACCGTCACCATCCATCCGACAATGAGGATAACGACGACTCTGATGACGACTATGGCGCCAACTATTCTTCATCCGATATCGGTGTCGAAGATGCTGATACGGTAGGCAACGCGAAGGCTATGAGTGGTGGCCAGGGCGGAGGTGATCAAAGCAAAGGCAATGGTCAACTGAAGTCACAAAAGACCGATCTATCGCCAACCGAGGATCATCAAGCTCGCCAGTCCATGTCAACAGCTCGTACAAGTACCACAGCCGAGACAGATGAAACATCATCGAGCGGAAATGGAAGTGTCAACAAGCAGAACAAGAGAACTGAAGAGAGGAAGCACCGTGGGCTGATGCAATGGAAGCCTGCACGAAATGCGAAATTCGCAAAGGATGAGGCTAAGATCGGGCTGTCTAAGTTGAAGAAGAAGGTCACTGGAGGATTGGACGGAAGGCAACCCGGTGTTGAGACTGGTGAGTTTTTCATGGTACCCATAAGCAAAAGATGCAAACTAACACGTTCACAGAAACCGGATAATTACACTAAAGAGCACGATATCATATTAACGATTACACGAGCTCTTCTCATATTCGACTTCGCGACATGGCGTTGGTGAGGCTGCAAAACGTCAAGGTGGTCAATCTTGATAGAGCCGAGAATTCTCACGGCTCTCCATTCAGAGGTGCATGATGTTATGAGGTAGTCAAAGCAAAGTTAGGAATCATAATAACTAATCAAATCTCAATACCAACTTTACTCATCGGCCATGGCTTCACTCTCACAAGATCCAGAGGTGCGCATGGGACGAAACGCCCATTGGTAACAGGGGGATAGCTACGAACACACTCTACCTCTTGGGGCGATTTCATCGCGCAACGTACTTTGATCAACAGGGTGAGTATGAGAACATGGTAACGCTCTTACTCACGATGCGAGAGCTCGGCTGCGGCACGTTGGATGTCACGGCTAGTGCACCAATATCTGAAGATCATATCAACAACGTAAGCACGACCCCAACATAAGCGGGCGGGAGTCC